TCACAGTGTTATACAGTAATACTGATGACGTTTCGAGCACAAACTAGTACTCACAATCATATCAAGGTGCGCAGTGCACAAGTTTTATTCCAATATCAGCTATTAAGCCCTGTTTAACTATGCAGCGAAGGCAGACACAGTTCCAGTGTTCTGAAAATAATCAACTTGAGGCAGTTCCCTAACTCGGATTAGGTGACTTACTGAAATAATCAATTTATCTTATTTTACCATGGTATATAATAAAAAAGTAGTCTGGTACTCTTTTACTGTCAATCATGCCAGTCGTAATACTATTGTAGATAATCTATCAGGTGATGTTATCATGCAGCATTTTTTTATAAATGCATAATTTAAATTTATCGAGGCGAAAAAATATTTCGAAAATACTCACTTAAATTACTTCGTGGTAGATTTAAGGCTGAACAAACGTGTTACTTAAGAATTTCCGTTTCTCAGTTCTTAAATCCATGGCTTTTATGAGGCAAAGGCATTCTGACCTACTTAAGCGTGAAACACATCTGCCTTTTCCGAAATATATATTCTAAAATAAGATATACCGAAAGTAATTCTGAGTTGAGAATAAACAGACTTGGAGGTAAAATTGATGTAATTTTATTTCTTATGAAAATCAGCATACATTTATCTTATTTGAATGGCAGTCTATCAACATTCATGGGAAAAATCTAAAAAAAGGGGATATTAGGTGTCAAGTGAAAGATTATTTATTCAGTTACATCTTACATACGAGAGGCTCCGTTAGCACTACTGCGCTATTTGGCGAAATCAGGAAGGCCCCACTCACTCCATTATCTTGTGCCATTGTTCTTTCCCTCCAAAAAACGGAATAAAAGTTAATTTACTTAGATCTGATCATCCTGAAGAACTCAGTCCACTCTCAAAGTAGAAATATGAAGCCTACAGTAAGGTAGAAACCACAAAATCAATAAAAACATTTTGCTTAGCTGAATGCTTTGTTATGAAACGCCATTTCCTATGAAGATTTAGAATGCAGTATTTTAATTCGACATATTTCTCACGCACTGACTGGTCTATGGGGTTAGCACTCTGTCGTGTGTCTAGTCCTTCGTGCTAGTGCTGAATGAACTCTATCAGTTAATTCCAAAGAGGTTACCGATCAAAGGAAATTCAGCATCGCAGTACATGTTTTGTGTTACTCTCAGATCTATGAATCCTAGACCCAGAATTTACGCCTACGCATACTGCCACTTGGGACCTGGCATCTCAGTGGTACCATTTTCGACCACAGCACTGGGCGTTTTGGAATGAAGTCTTATGGAGTTTTCCACTTCCTTCAAAGTTGCAAATATACCACATCGACAAGTAGGAATAATCACGTAAGCTAGGTTTACGACTTCCTGTCGATTGTCTGCAACTACTTAATAATAAAAATACTGTAAATATTTCTGCTTTCTGAACTCCTAAAGGCATCCGACTGAAAAAGTAGACACTGATGTGGCTAACATACATACAAAAACTATATAAAGTTAAAACTATTAAGTGAGAGAAAGGAGTCTAAATGTATTCCTTTATGCATGAATTTTGAAGTCACTAATCAGTATCTGGGTGTTTTAAACATAGGTTTAAAGTGTAATATCATTTAAAGTAAGAATAATTAAAACATTTTATATCCTTAACATGTAAAAGTTGTTCCCAATGACCTCTCATTACACGATAATGTTGTAATTAAAAATTTTGAATTATTCCCCTTTGGTCAAAAATAATGACTTTATTTGATAATTAATAGGAATTTTCCAATTAAGAAAAGGAATGCTTTTGTTTTTTAGTGTCAGGCAAATGTGATAAACAAAACTGTGATACACTTTCTTCTGCAAAAATGGTCAGGATAAATGTACGTGAACATATTTGCAAAAAGTGAAGACTCTAAAAATAGACAGTTAATAGCCAGAATTATCAGTTTCAAAGATGGTTATTATTAATTTTTAATTTAGGTATCTCATGGGACACACTTCATTGTGCGCACATCCACAGCAAAATGTGAGGAAGTGTGGACAAATAAGACCATTAATGGTGTTTAGAAAGCCACAGAAAGCTTGGAGATTAAACCATTCAGCTAAGAGAACACAGCAACACCAAACGTAGCCAACTCAGCTATCAATCTCTACCTAGAGTTATTCATTTACGAATCATATTTTAACAATAGCAAAGGAGTGATTATAAACCAGATGCGATGAGAAGATAAGACATAAGTGATCCCAGTGAAAAGGAACATTAAAAGTGAAAGTGAATAATTATCTTAATTTCAGTCAGTTATTTCCATTTATAAATTATAAAAATTATATGAAATGAATTCAAATTCACTTCGTACGCCCTAAATCTTTCATAAACTCACTAAATTGAATAATTGTGTACAATCTAATAATCTGAGAAATCATTATCAAACACAAACAGTTTGATATAATTCAGTGGTACGATAAACACAAAATAATTATTTTCACATCTGCACAACAACATATAGGGAACAAAAATGAAAATACCCATCCAGACATGAATATAAGAACAACAAAGTTCAGCGAAGAGTCTCTTATCGGCGAATTCATTCCCTACGCTGTACAATCGCATTTATATATAATTATTTTGTGTGTGTATGCGTACATTATGAATGTCAAACAAAAATAAAGTGAAAATTAGTTAGGTGTACTGTTTACGTCATCAAAATATTTCTAAAGTGTGACGAAAAATCAAAATTGTAACTAGGGGGTTGCGTAATATGAAATAGGACGTTAATGGAGACACGTGTCCAAAAAATAAATTATCTAATAGGTAGAAAGAGTTGCACGTGGAAATAAGGAAAGACAAATCAGTGGCGAACCGAACTGCAGCATAACACATTCTCATTGGACAGAGCATAGGATGGCAGTGAAGTGTCTAACTCAACTTCATGGACTTGCAAGAGGCTTCAACAGCGTCGACCATAAAGTAATTTGGCAACTAAATAGTGCAAAATCACAAACATTTATAAACCTCATTGAACAGCCATATGATGGCACATATCATTGGAATCCCTTGAGGCGAAGAAAAGAGTAACATATGGCTGTCTGCCATCACCAGGGACACTGCTCAGTGTGGCTGGGAGTAAGAATAGAGAAAACAGGCACACCTTAAACTAGGGAAAAGACTGTCGAAGATCTGTAATTTGAAAATGATTTATGTTTCCCATAGCACAAACTCAAAGATACACCAGTGTAAATCAGCCAGTTGGCAGAAGAGGCAGATAAGGTATAATTGTAGATGGACATAAAGAATATGTAAGTAAAGTCTGTTGACTAAAAACAGACACCAATTACCATCAACTGGAGAAATCTAATGGGACTCGTTTCATTCACTAACTTGCTAAAGGTGATAGCAGTAAATGCCTATGTTTAACTAGAAATGCAAAGAATGATAAACGTAATAATAATATAGGTTATCTCTTACAAAAACCAAAGTCACAAAAGAATCCACATAGATGGTTAATATTCTGTTGCTGTTAAATACTAGAAGCTGAACTATAAAAACAACGCAGCATAAATATTTTTCATCAAATTATTGACTGCTTTTCTCGAAGTTCATTCTTGTTTGAATTTTAATTACGAAAAATATTTTAGTAGCTAGATTGATTTTAATAACCTATGAACTGTTCGGTGCCTAACATTAAGACAGCTCACTATATCCCAGAAAAAAATGAGATTCCTTAAGCAGCTGGTTAGCTCAGACTGTGTTTATTGGGAGAGTTACTGTCTTCACAAATGGCATAGTTTAGAGAAGTCTCTGTCACTAGTGTTATCTTCGTTACGTTCAAGTATCACACTGTTTAACCATTGACAACTGAATGTTTTATTCCTATTTAGTTATGAATCAGTCTTCAGTTTTCTTCCCTTCTCGAAGATACTTGCAATAACTTCAAGATATACTTTGCCCATGAATTAATAAGTTGTCATTTTGAAGTAGGTATTTGTTACATAAATATTTAAAGTCATACTGTTGACATATTTTATATAAAATTAGGATAATTTTCTTAGTTTATGTTTCCAGCGCATATTTGCCTACAAGCTAACATTTCAATAACTATCCTATACAGACTAGTAATACACAATCTAATGGCACAATGATTTTTCGCTATGGCTGCTCAAGTGAGTTATGTCGGTCATTTTCATTCCAACATGAAGACACGTGGACGCATTATATACATTGATGTTTACTTCAGTTACTTCACTTATTTTGCAACTAATAATTACGCTTTTAAAAGGTGCATAATTTCATTAAGACTGAATATGTCTGACCAGAGCTTATTTGCAGAATAGACTCTGTGTAGCAAACAGTAATATAAGTAGCATATTTCGACTGTCATTACAGATAAAGCTATCAAAATATAACTCAGCTTCTAAAAGACCCAAAACATTTAATAATGAATTTAAAAAAGGTGAGCAGATGCTTAGCTATATAATTTGGTTTCGGACTTGAAAATTTACCATTTTGCATTTGCGTTCAGTGCATCAAAGAAATATTTAGTCCTAGTAAATATATCACTTATGCTGGGTAAACTACTTCTGAACAAAATATTTGCCTTTTTGATTATTTTCTTTAAAAATTCTCCGCCTATTCACCACTTCCCTAAATCAGATACTTAGACACCAAACTTCTTCACCTGGACCTAGTCAGTGAGAATATGGCACTGGAATGTGTCAGCATAAAGTGAGGAATTGTATCTTAAATCAATGTAAGCTGTAACAGGGAAATGAAGCATGCTTGGATAAAAATGAAAGTAGTTTATGCGAACGGTAGTCAGTCCTAAGTTTTCTTTTTAATACTAAATAAGCGTAAAAACCTAATCCTAAAATACGCTTCCGTTGTCCGGAAAAATTCACCTAAATATGAATTTAATTGGCCAATATTCCCAAGTGATTTGATTGGTTGATTCTATGAAATCCAAGCAATGAGTAAACCTGATGATGCTATAGTATAAAAAGTATCATTTAATCCCGAATTTTCCTGTGCACAATTACACTTTATATTGGAGTATACTTTTTCTGATATCTTCATAACACGTAATAATTCAGTTTGTTGTATAAGGTGTAAAGTATGTTTTAAACAATACTGTCGATCACTGGAGCGTTATTAGCTCAATTTATGAATAACCTGAAATCTGTGATTTTATGAAACAACTCTCACAAGTAAGCGGATTTTCTCTCTTTTACACTTTAATAATCATTCTCAATTTGGTTTACTCATTGTTTCATTCTGTCATTCTACCAAAAAAGATATTTACTTGCAGGTGGGAAATTCCGATGAAAACAATAGTTCAAAAAAATATTCATTTTGTTTACTGATATTGATTTTCTGTAACTGAAATTTATTTTTTATGGTAACTCGTTTACGCTAAATTGGATTTTCAAGCACGAAAAACATTTCTGGAAAAGTATGTCTGAAGTGTTTTGTTACCCGATTCTGTAGATGTCGGCTTATGAGTATTCTATCAACAACAGTAAGAAATACACAACAGTTTGAATATATAACAAATATAAAATGTAAGAGTAGAATTTGGGCACTATGATAGAGTATAATTCCATATTAGATAATTTTATCTGTTATAACACACAGTGATACAGGATTAATAGCTGGATGACGCTTCGAGCACAATATATTCACACATCTTCATAATTTGCTTTATATATATTCTCTCTCTCCTCTTATTGTTTACTGCAATTCATATGATTGTGAGCAATAAAATGTGCTCGAAATGTAATGAAGCTATTAATACTGTATCACTGTGTGTTATGTCAAATAAACGTATCTAGTATGGTATAGCAAATAAGAAACATAAAAATCATATTCGATTGGTGTAAAATGATTTTTGATATTATTTAGCGTCAGAAATGCAAGAGGTTTACTAATTGTATAAGTGTGAATATAGTTTTAGTAGCATATGTAGTGGTTTCAGTCTTCAAGTGAACAAATGAATAATCATTGAGGTGGATACAGTTCACAGTCTTAATTTATAACATATTTCTTTCTTAGTATTTAACTGGTGGATGGTGACTAGCAGTGGAGTCCAGGATGCGCATTTCGTCCCATTTGGGACTCGTCATTTGGATGTACCTGCATTTCTCAGTCAGTGATGATGATTTCACCGAGGCGCGAACCCAGTGCCCATAGTTTCAAACGCCAAAGCGTTATCCACTAGACCACTTGGGCCACGAGAGCCACCTCTTGTGCAACGGGTCATATTGATTTAATTGAATTTTAGATTTTCCCGTCGATTGATTGGACCGAAGTGCTCGGTCTCAGGTTGACATGTCGGCTTCTTTCCTTCCTTTCAAACAATATTTTTTTGGCATAAATCAAGATGAAAATATGTGTGTATTAAGAACAATATTGTGATACTGACAGTGACGATATGCTTAAGTGATTTATATTTTCATTCGGAAAGTTATTTTTACCAATTTTATCCTTATGGATATACGTATTTGTTTAAGAGTATTGTTGGCGTGAATGCAATATAAATCTGAAGAAGAATTGGGAAATATAAAGGAAGTGAAACTACTTTTATCGCTGCAACGGTCAGAAATCTTAAAATTAAAGAATAAAATGCCTCACAGATATTTCAGTTGCGTTTTCCGGATATGAGCAACATTTTGAAAAAACGCTTCAACTTTAAATATCTGCTTGAAGCAAGATGTAGGCACTGAAAAATCAAGCATACAAAAGGGATGTGCTGTTTTTAAGTCAGAATGTTCAGTAACATATTTTTGGTACAAAATTATTACTTGTGTAAGTGTAGAACGTGGGCATTGTAGTAGAATGTAATCCAATATAAATTTATTGGAAATATCACACAGTAAGGCAGTAATAACACCAATCGTATTAGTTAATATGATTATGAGCAATAATTTATGCTTGAAACGTCATCCAGTTGTTAATACTACATCGCTATGTGATATTTAAAATAAACTCATTTAATATGGGACGAAATTACTACTACTCACATTTGTAAATGAAAGTCAAAAAGGATATTAGAGTACTTCAGCGTTTGTTTTTAGCGTAACTAGATAATTTCAGTCTTTTGATTCAGTTGTTTCTGAGAATTTTTCCGCTTCCGTGTACGCTTGTGCTCAAATAATTGGCTCCAAGGAGCTATCAGACATTTAGCAGGTATTGTATATCAATACGCCATGCAGAATTCAAAGCTGATGACACAAAACTCTTTCTCATGTTTATATGGACAATAAGACCGCAATAAACGATTTGTTTCCTGCAACAGAATTACAGATTTACAACCGAAAAGACTAGGAAGTGAAAAATAATCATTCAAAAAATTAAACTAGTTCATCAATAGTGATGTGGAATTCGTTTCCGTCAATGAAAATATATTTACCTCCATTTTCTACCTGAAGTATTCTCATTTAATTTCGAAAACACCTCACATATTCACTGTGTTTGTTATTTTCCAAATAATCCTGAAATTACTGATGTGAAAATTGTATTTGCTGATAAAGACCTATTGTTTGACTGAACAATAGGCAGTGTTTTCCACATCAGAATGTTTACTAATCGAGAAGTATTCCTCGCCATTTCCACCAATCTGCCTTACAAAAGATAGCTTTTACTACAAATCTGTTTGTTTCGGGTAAGTACCATTCAACTGTGCTAAAACAACCACATTCAAACAGTATTTGCGTCTTGTTCATGCCACTCTGGTCTCGTGGCATATTGTGTGGATACATATAAATATATTTACTTTTTCTACAAATTTCTGTCACCTTTTAGGTAATATTTAAAAAAAAAAGTATGACTTATGTTTAAATGGCCGTTAAACGACTAAACAAAAAAATAATTATTCAAGCTTTATGTGAGTATTCCTCCTATATTTTGCTGACTAAACTGGATGGTAGTGATCACTTGTTCTGTCTCTATTTTCTAAACATCCAGCGGCATATTTCTTGACATTAGGCAGTTAGGTACTTACTAACCAAGAACTCTGATATGTAAACGTTGTACCTCGTGAGACTTCTTTTAAATTACTGAGCAGTTACTGGTTTTATTTGCACTTATATTATAGCCAACCTGACGCCTGATGACAATTCAACATTATTACCATGAGTTTCTTTGTAATCCCTACCTGCCTTTGGATCAGTATAATGCTTTAATTTTAATAACAAGCAGCTCAAGCAGTAACTGGCAAGTGTTACACAAACATCAACATGCCACAGAGTGTCTCCTCTTAATTAAAATTAAGATGACTTTTACATTTACACAAAGCGTTATATTTTCCTTCATTTTCATTATACAGAGCACACACTTATTGGCTATAGTCAGATTAAATGAGTAAGATTAATGTTTTATAGACAATCTATGAACTGTAATAGTAGGTCTTTATCTATCTGCTATCAGATCGTTATTATCGCTTGCTGATCAAGTAAGTGTCATGTTTCGTCACCTAACATATTCTTTTGCAACTCATTTATCATTTTCACTCTTTATTGTTCGTTCAAATTCTATAAATCAAAAATTGACAAGTCTGAAAGGGATAAAAACAATCTTTATAAAAAGTGAGGGTTTTAAATACGTTTCATTATTTTATTTATTTGATCTACCAGTTCCTAAAACTGATGAGTATCGCTGAGTAGATTAAATAATGATTCCTGAGCAAAACAGAAGATTCTACGAAACTATTTTAGCAAATATTTTCTAAGAAGTAAGGATAACTATGGTTTTTAGGCTAATTTTTCGCTTTTTCCGTTTATTGATTATTTGGGAATGAAATGCTCTGATTCTGCTGACATGTTGCACAAGCGGTCGCTATTCTGGTTCTCGCCGCTTAGTGGATAACGCCTTAACGTCTTAAACGATGCCAGCATGATCCCAGTTTCAGTGAGTTTACCTTTCTTATTGAGGAGAGAAGATAAATCTATCTCATGAGTTATAAACAGGACGAACTGAGTGTTCTAGACTCTCCTGCTAGCCACCATCAACCAAAACAACATTGAAAAATACACCCCCCTAGAAAAAGTTTCCACATTTGACGATAAAATAGAGTCTTAGAAAATCACTTATACCTTCTCCGACTTGGCCTAACTATTTTCAGGTGAGAGCAGTAGTAATTATAAATATAAACGTAACTAGACAATTTATAAAAGCCTTTAGTATACTCAAATTATTCTTATATCTGTCTATGTGGATAAGTGTATGTGAAATGAAAAGTCAAAATTGATGCTGACGCGATTGTGAGCAATGACACTAACAAAATATGTGTGTGACTTATCTTCATTAGAGATCACGTTATCTTCATTAGGAAATTCTTTTTGAAAAAGGATGACCCAGTATTTTTCTGGTACGTTCTTCATCTTGTCGTAAAAGGCAGTTAAACAAAATAGTTACGTGGAAAATACAAAACTTTAATGGCGTACCACATTTATCTTGTTGACAACCTTTAGTTTTAAAAGGTTTTACCTGTCAGTGATCAAAAGGCGTTCAGTATGTCTTTTAAAAGGATATTTTATATTTCATCGTCGTTTTTAGACACATACATGTTTTGAGATCTGTGAAGGGTTGGGCATTGTTTTTTCGGCAAAACCTCTGTTGATTGTATGTAGTGGCAGTACAGAATTACGGAATAATTGCAGGATGTGATTTGTCTGAAAGTTTCAATTTATGTTCTTTAAGAATTCCAAACTACACCAACATAAACCGACTACACGTAGACTGTTGTAAAGTGCTCAGAAAAAATAAATCAGAAGTTACTGAAAAGCACTAGGGAATTGAACATAGAAGTAGCATTTTGAGTTAAGTCTCAAATTCATGACTGCTAGATGATGAATATTTTTTCATCAGTCTGTCTTGCATGTAGAACATAAAGCTTCAAGCTCAAGCTCCGAAGCTTCAGCAGCTTTGCTGTTTTTCCGTGGTGTAAGGCCTCAAGCCTCATGTTCAACCTTCCCTGTTTTCGTAGCTTACCATCGGCGTAATGAGGCTTAGAAGTGTATCAGCCAGGAATCGACCCAGGATCACGTGCGTGTTTGGCGGGCATTCTACCAGTGAACCACTAAGGCACTGGAGATAAACACAAAGCTCATATATATATATAGCCTTGTTTCTTATCGACACAAGTTAAAAACTTTAGTCACATAAAATAGCCAGCTTGTGCAGTACTAACATATTTCTTTAAAAGACAAAA